CATGGCTAAACTAATGGCTCCATAGTTAGCCATTGGACCAAGCTGAGCTTACAAGCTCGGCCCGGCCCAATCGTTCAATCGGGCGACCTAGACTGGGCTCGGTTCTAGCAATGTAAATAGCCTATAACAGGTATTTTTGGTCAAATGACCAAAATATCCTCAAAAAGGTCAAAAAGGCCAAGATTTGATGGTGCTTTGATAATTAGGCCAGGGGGTTGCCTTTATGAATAGAGGGGGTTTTGATTTATTTCTCTCTCGTCCAAAACTCATCTGAAACTTCTCTAATACTCTATTATTCTCTCTAATACAGTATTATACTCTCTTATTCTCCTCTTATACTTTCTAATATTCTCTAATTCAAATAACTTCCTCCTCTGATTATGAAGGGCAAAATCCAACTCCCAAAATGAGTCTTACAACTACTCCTCCTACTAGTGATGTTGATCCTGAATCCGACAATGATCCAATACCTAGAGCTCCTAAAAGGCTGAGATCTGAGGTGTGGGCTTTCTTTGAGAAAATTGAAGTCGCCAGGGATCAACATGACAAACTTCTCACCCAAAATGCCAAATGTGCATTATGCGGCCATATTTTTGAAGCTCACCATAAGAGCGGCACTAACTACCTCAAATGCCATTTAGAAAAACATAATAGAAGGCAAGCAACATCTCGAGGCGATATTTGCCAATATCTACACTCTAAATCATCTTTCTTTGATAGCTTCGGTTTATGGAACTATGACGCAATTAAAGCTAGAAAATGCATCATCAAGTTTATTGTTCTTAAAAAGTATTTCTTTTAAATTAGTAGAAGATGAAGAATTAGATGTTATGATTAGAGATGATTTTTATCTAGCATTTCAAAAACTTTCTCGTCAATCTTGTCAACGTGATTGTCATAACCCCTAAAGTACTAAATATTAATCTCCATAGAGAAGTTGACACGTGTCTTACACTATACCTAACCCGACAAATTCAAGACCAAGATAACCTCCGCCTCAGCACGCTGACTTGGTTAGCCAACAACTTGCGTAGCTGAGACAAAAAGCAGTACTACTCGGCCAGCCCCTCAATTGACCACTTTTTGTGAGCGGCGAAATTGCAAAGAAGAGATGGCGACTCTGCTGGGGAAGATTGCGATTTTGAGCAATTTTTGAGGAGATATCCTTATGTGAGGTGAAGTGGATGGTAGGAGTGTATTGTGTTCTAAGTGACAAATTGGAGAGTTTAAATGCGGGTGATGATTACTCGTCGGGTGATGCATCGTCGAAGTAATAGTTAACTCGACCC